TTGGTAACCTTCAAAAGAGCCACTTTGGGGCAATTTTCTGCCATTGAAAATCTATAGGGAGCTGCAAGAACATAAAAGGTGTAAATTAAAATCTTTTGTCACATGTGACTGCTCTGCAGTGGGTTACTTACTGTATGATTATTTTGTGTCTGGTGTTATTATTCTCATTATATTACACAGCATTACATCAATGTCATGTTTGTGGTACATTTAATAAGTAAAGAGCTGAAATTCAACACTGGCTTTGAATTCACTTTCATAAATCCAATAGCATTGAACAGGTAGAACTTTTTGTTCTACCTGTGTTTTTATGTTTTTATTTTATTTGATAATGAATAAATACCCAATTAATAGCTTTGGAAGGTCCCTTAAGAAGCCCGGAGAGCTATTCCTGAACTTACAAGGAAATTACACAAAGCTTGTCTAAGAGAATTCAGGCTGTGACAAAGAATAAAGGCACATACTGACTAAACTTATTAGAATTATACAAACTCTGGTTTTTGCCTTATATACAGTATTTCCATGTATGTTTGTAAGTTTTCAATCAATAGGTTTTTCCATTTTCCCAGAGGTGGGTTAGGTGAGCTGCTTATGATTGTTTTAGTGTTAATATACAGATAATTTAGCTTTTAGGCTCCGTTGATCTCATTCCAGTAACCAGCTGTGCTTTGGAGCGGCTGATATCACCTACCTCACTGACATACAGACACAGGGCAGCATGGTGGCTTTTTGTTTTCATGGCTGCCACTTGTAAGTCAGCAGATTTAAATAAGGACTCTCTTTAAAATTTAAAACACCTCGCCGTGTCTCTTTGTTTCTGAAACAAGGAATGTTCACAAGGAAAAGTATTTTGGCGACAGTGTATGTTTTATGACGTCTTGTGGAAGCAGGCTTCCAAAGTGTTACTTTTATACTGCATACACTGCGCACAAATGACAAATGCAGGTGTTTACTCAGTAATAAAAACAAGTTGGTGGTCGTCTGCTTTCTCTTCCTGCTGGACAGAGCCCTCGACGTGCATGATGTCAGAGTGGATCAGCTGGTCGGCCTGCAGCGTGTCCTGCGGGATGGGGATGAGGTCTCGAGAGCGATATGTCAAACAGTATCCCGAGGACGGCTCGCTCTGCCAGCTCAACACCGAGGAGACAGAGAAGTGTGTTGTCAACGATGAATGCTGTGAGTCTATTTTTTCTCCCGTACGAACAGATTGACCCAACCGACCAAATTAACAATGCCTTTAATTTGAGCCAGCTGCTCCGTTTCTTTTCCGCATAGAGTTTAATGTAGCCTGTCGTCTTTAAATTAGAGCATCTAATTTCAACGTGTTTAATATGCAAAATAGTCCAACCAAAAAAAGAAAAAACGTTGTCAAAGAAGCATAAAAGAACAAAGTGAAAAAATAATGGCATAAATGAAATAAATCATGCACAGTTAATTGGTGAACAAGGTGTATTTCATGGCCGTAACATAGTTTAGAACACATGTATTTATGCTCCTAATAAAAACATGAAAGAAGCAGCGAAGTTACTTCAGCTATTTTATCTGGATGTTAGCATTAACATGCACTGGTGCCAGAAAATGTGTGTAGCTGATAAGGAAGTTGTTCCTATAGAGCCGATACAAGGTTGCCAGATCGTATCTGTTGGGCAGGATATATGTGATTTTTCTCTGAGGGCATTCAGGCAGCCATTTCTGATATCCATTTTGAAACAGAGTGGAGGGGGGGGACTGGACTTCTCTTAATGCAGTGCACTTTCTGCAAACATCCATCTGTCCATCTATCCATCCATTATCTACTGCAAATCCAGGACTAGGTCATGGGGCAGCGTTCTAAGCAGAGATGCCAGACTCCCTCTCCT